GGGGGGGGGGGGGGGGGTTGTGCTGCAGCCCACCCTCGCGCCATCAGTTCAGTTTCCAGATGTGCCATAAATAACTCACAAGATCCGTCCCGCAGCGCGTGCCATGAAATATTCATCCCGGCTGTAACTGAGCGGGTGAAGCGGAGTTCAGTGCTGCACAGCCCGGGGGTCCCCGCGGGGCACTCAGCCCTCACCCCACAGCGCTGCCAGCCCGGGAGGGGGGCGCCCCCCCCGGGGGGGGGGGGGGGGGGGTCCTGCAGGTGAGGCCTTGGCCTTTGTGGGGACGGGAGGTTGGATCAGATGCTTTCCCTGTGCTGCGGTGTTGGTGGATGCTGATGGCTCTGCTCTCCCCCCAGATGTGTCCCCAGGGGCCCTGGGCTGCGCTGCTGCTGCTGGTGGGTGTCCTCGCCTCTGACACGCCGCCCAGTGCCAGGGGAAGGAAGAAGGTGGTCCACGTCCTGGGTGAGTGCTGGGGGGTCCATGGTGGGGGTGCAGGCACCCCTTTGTGGAGCCTTTGTGGAGTGGGGTTTAATGTTCATGGAAGCACAGCGGAGTCCTTCTGTAGCTTGCAAAGCTCCTCCAAAGCAGGAACTCTCCCCAAAAGCTGCTTCTTCCCATCTCTGAGCCGAATGGCCGCTCTGCCCCACCACAGCTCCATCCCATCTGACTCTGCGATGGGGCAGCTTTGGGAACGAGGAGCCCACTGAGCTCAGTGTCCCTTGCAGAGGGGGACAGCGGGGCCGTGGTGGTGCAGACAGCCCCGGGGAAGGTGGTGACGCACCGGGGAGGCACCATCATCCTGCCCTGCCGCTACCACTACGACGTCTCGGCCCACGACCCCGACGAGATCCGCCTCAAATGGACCAAAGTGACGGAGCCGATGGCCTTCGTGGACGTCTTTGTGGCTCTGGGGAAGGCGAGGAGGGCGTTCGGCAGCTACCGCGGGCGCACGGCGCTGCAGGAGGACGGCTTTGGGGACGCCTCGCTCATCATCCGCAACGTCACCCTGCAGGACTACGGGCGCTACGAGTGCGAGGTGACCAACGAGCTGGAGGATGACACCGGCATGGTCAAGCTGGATCTCGAAGGTAGCGGCGCGGCGCTGGATCCGATGGGAACGGGGACACGCGGGGGACCATCGGTGGCCATGTGTGCTGCGTGGGGTGACGCAGCTCCCGGTGCCACATCCTCGGGCTCAGCTTTACGGCCGCTTGTTTGTCCCGGCATGCGCCGTGTTTTATTGCATCTGTTATTGGCTTTTATTGTTGCTCCAGGTTGACTCGCTGGCAGCTCGTAAAGGCCGCAGATAGATGGAGGCACGGCCTCGTAAAGCAGCAGGGGGGACCGGGGCGCGTGGCAGCAATGGTGCCGCACGTGGCTCGGAGCTGAGCTGTGGCACGGGCTGGAACAGCTGGGGATGCTGAGAAAAGGGGAAAAGCTTTGTCAGCGCACGGCCGTGCCGCGTGGTCAGTGCACGCCTGCTGCAGGGGCTCAGCCCCGTGCCTGGGTGCTCCGTACAGCATCGATGTGACCCCCGCTTTGCTATGGGGTGAAGGGTGGTTCAGGGTGATGCTCTCACACCCCAGCCCCGCTCGCTGCCCCACAGGCGTCATTTTCCCCTACCATCCTCGCCTGGGCCGCTACACCCTGAACTTCCACGAGGCGCAGCAGGCGTGCCTGCAGCAGGACGGCATCCTGGCCTCGCACGACCAGCTGCACCAGGCCTGGCTGGAGGGCATGGATTGGTGCAATGCAGGCTGGCTGCAGGACGGCTCCGTGCAGTACCCCATCTCCCACCCGCGGGAGGAGTGCGGCCGCAAGGACACCCCGGTGGGTGTGCGCAACTACGGCTACCGGCACAAGGAGAGCGAGCACTACGATGCCTTCTGCTTCACCTCCAACCTCAACGGTGAGTGGGGAAACTGAGGCGCTGGAGAGAGGTTCCCCGTGGAGAGAAGGGGCCGTTCCCAGTCTTCTCCCTGTGCTGCAGTGCCAAGGTCCTGCTGGTTGCTGCTAATGGGACCGGCCTCAGGAAGTGGCTGCACACCCCCGTGTCACATCACGAGGGGTTCAGGAGTGGGGACCCCCATCCAAAACCAGGGTCCATCTGTGTGCCTCCATCACCCTCTGCTCGGGGGCACTCGCTCTCAGCCCAGCTCTGTGTTCCCTGAGCAGGAGGAGGGGATGGAGGTAATTGCAGCTGCGAGTGGCCCGGGTGATGGATGAGGCCGGGGCCAGGCAAGACAGATTGGAGCCGTGAGGGCTCTGGGGCTGTGTAAATTCCTCCTGGCTGGCAGGGCAGTGTGGGGGGGGCTCTGCGGATGTTTGTTTAATGGTGGCAGGCAGGATAAATAGCAGGCAGCACCGCCAGCACCAGCGGCACCGCGCAGCCCCGTAAATCTGCCCGTGCTGAGGGGGGGTCCCCACGGCTGGCCGCTCGTCTCCTCCATCCCTTCTGATGAAGATAGAGCTGGGGAGGCCCAGATCCCCCACAGGGATGGATGTGGGGCTCACCCCTCCTGGCAGCACCGCTCACTCCCATCTCCACCCAACGCCCCACCCGCTGGCGCTGCACCCCATCCCCAAACCCTTTTCTTTTCTGCACCCCCCTTCTCTTCCCCAGGCAAAGTTTACTTCCTGAAGACGTTCCGCAAGCTGAGCTACACCGAGGCGGTGCAGGCCTGCAAGAACAACGGGGCGGCTGTGGCCAAGGTGGGGCAGCTGTATGCTGCCTGGAAGATCCAACTGCTGGACCGCTGCGAGGCGGGCTGGCTGGAGGATGGCAGCATCCGTTACCCCATCGTCAACCCGCGGGCGCGCTGCGGCGGCCGGGAGCCTGGAGTGCGCAACCTGGGCTTCCCGGACAAGAAGTACAAGCTTTTTGGAGTGTACTGCTTTAAAAAGGCTGGTGATGCTCCTCCTGAGAAGAAGAAGGGTGAGGGGCATCCCAACCGTGTGTGATGCAGTGCTGGGGTTCCTCACGAGGCTCCCCCAGCCCTGCATGGCTGCGGAGCGTCCTTGGACTCCGCCGGGAGCCCCCAAGGTTGGGGCTGTGTACATGGAACTGGAAGAGCTCAGGTGATGCCGGCGGGTGCTGTGCTGTGCCCGGGCCCAGTGATGCCTGGGGGGAAACTGAGGCACCTGGAGAGAAAGCACTGAGCTGCCTGGGCAGGAAGATCCAGCACCAACCTGGCAGAGCCCATCTGAAGTCATCGCTTAGAATTCAGCGCATTGCATGTGCAAAAAGCCTGGCCAGAGCAATGCAGGACTGAACCCCCTGCATCTTTGTGCTCTCCAGCTCTGCGCTGGGACCAACCCCACCTCGGGGTGCTGCAGGTAACACAGCAGCGGGGGCACAGCCCCAAAATCTGGCACCAATGCAGGCGGTGCCCACTTGGGGCAGCAGCCTCTCGCCCTCGCGCTTGGCTTAGTGCAGAAGCTGCCCCAAGCTGCCTGCCCACCCTGGCCGGGGGCAGCTCTGGGTGTCATGCAGCCGCAGTGCTGTGAGCTGGACTTAGGTAAAATAAAAGCTTCAGCTGCTTCGGAGAGCTGAGCCGGGCTCACGTGTCTCCTTGTCCTGCTGCCCTTTTGCTGGTGAGGGCAGCAAAAGGGACCCCGGGGTGCACAGAACCACGGGACAGCACTTGCCCCACCTCCCACCCAAATGAACATCGCTTCTGGTTTCTCTCTGTACCCAAAGTCCTGGTCCAGCAGAACTGGGCGTGTTTCAGGATTTCCCCAGCAGCATCCCTACAGCATCCCTACAGCATCCCTACTGCATCTCTACTGCATCCCATCCCCACTGACAGATCAGGACCAGCCCCAAGTGTGGGGAGCAGCACCACAGCAACACAGTGCCAGCTGTGACCCCTGAGCCACTGTGGGCACAGCAGGGCATGGGCTGGGGACCCCATGTCCTCCACACGGGGGGGGGGCACAGCAGCTGCTTCTGTGCTGGGCACAGCTGAGCACAGTGCATCCGTCACCTTCACGGCTCTTCCAGCACTGATGACAACAAATAGCTGCCAGGAGGTGACACGTGTGGCCACTGGGAACACAGCAAGGGGACTGGGGGCCACCAGAGCCGCAGGTGATGCTGTCACACGGTGACGGATGGCAGCGGGGCAGTGACACAGCCCTGGTGTGAAGGAGGGTCGTGTTGGATAACACCAATTTAGCCATGAAAGGATGAAGATGGAGAGCAGCGGGCAGGGAGTGCATCCCACCTCCACGGGGTCCCCGCACCCGCAGTCCCCAGCCAAGCACAGGCTCGGAGCTGCTCAACTGTTAAAAAAATTTATTAAAATGTCCAGCAGTACAGAAACGCAGAGTCAGAAATGCCACGGAAGAGGGGAGGGGGTACGGGACACTGCAGTCACATCGCAAACAGCAGAGATCAGAAAGCGCCATACACACACACGCCAACTCCAATGGGAAACCGACAATGAACGGAAAAAGGGAAATCCAACCCCAAAATCCAGCCCAGAGGGTCCCACAGGGCGGGACAGGGACCCCCGTGCTGGCTGTGGGGACGTTGGCAGGGCAGGAAGACAGGGGGGGGGCTGTTAAAAAACCGGGGCCCCCCCCGGGGCAGCGGGGTGATGGGTGGGGGCTGCTGCGTGTCCCCCCACAGCCTGGAGGGGAGCAGAGCCCAGGGGGGCATCGGCCGCCATGGGGCAGCCCCCCCAAGACCCAGCAGGGATTTTGGGATCCCCATGCAGGGTCAGGGGCTCGACCCCGGGGTGGGGCATGCAGGGGGGGGCTGGGGACGCACACGCAGCCGCCCCCGCTGGGTCCTATTCCCTACGGGGCCGGGCATCCTAGGAGCTAAAGCAAAGAGGGTTATAAAAGAGGGGAGGGGGGAGGTTGGAGGGGGGTCAGGGGACGTCACCACGTCCCGTCCCACGGACGGCTGTTCCTGGGGTGCCTGGGGAGCGCACGCTCGCTGCCTCCCCGGCCCTAGAAGTAGTGGCCCTCCTCCATCCAGTCCAGCCGGAGGTGCTTGCGGTGTTTTCGCCGCTCCTTGCGGGGTTTGTGGTGGTGGTGCTGGTGGTGAGGGTGGCTGTGGCGGTGCCGGTGGTGCCGCCGTGCCCGGTGCGACCGCCTGGCTAATGGGGGGCAAAGGGCAGAGACGTTGGGGGGGGTCAGGGAGCCCCCATCCCCACCGTACCCCCAGACCCCACTAACGTTTTGTGCAGAGCAGTTTGGGCCGGTCCCACTTGCCGTTGCTGTGGCACCTGATGGTGGGGACGTGGCGCTGGGTGAAGCCCTCCTCGCACTGGTAGCGCACGCTCGAGTGGATGCTGTACCTCTCCTTCTTCTTCCCCACGAGGAACGCGTTCTCCACCTCGGGGGGGGGCCCACAAAGCACTGCGGGGGACAGAGACCCATCAGTGCCCACCTGGACTCCTGGTACCAGCAGGGGACATGGAGACAAGGGGACACAGAGGCAAGGGGACACACGGACAAGGGGACACAGGGACAAGGGGACAAGGGGACACCCCACACCCGCCACGGCCTTAGGATAAATCCCATCCCATCCTATTGGTGCTGCAGTGAGGCTTTCCTGAGGATTTACAGAGGTAATTAATGGCCCTATTGGGGAGAGCGCATCGTTCCGCGCGGCCGCGGGAGCGGGAGGAGCGCTCCCAGCGAACAGCTGGAGGTTAATATAACTTTCAAGATAAGGAATGAGAGCTTAATAGTTTTAATGGTGGCAAATTAAGCAAATTAAAGTGGAGAGGGAAGAATTAACTACAGGGGAAGAAAAAATAATGGAGATTAAGGGGAGCCGCTCGGGTTTTCTTTGGGAGAGGTTTCCTGAGGATGAGGAGGTGCCAGGAGGCTGCAGGATGGGGATGCAGGATAGGGAGGCTGCAACGGGGAGGCTGTGGGCCCACGGGATGCTGTAGGATAGGGGTGCTGGGATGGGGAGGAAGGGGCCATGGGATGGGGATGCTGTGGGATGACGGATGGGGTGCTGCAGGGTGCGAGATGAGGATGCTGGGGGATGTGGGAAGGGGAAGCCGGTGGCTGCAGGATGGGGTTGGCAGACGAGCAATACCTGTGCCCTTCTTGCAGATGTAGGGCAGGTTGTAGTTGCAGGGCACGTCGTTCCACTTGCCGATCTCGTGGGAAACCAACACCACGCAGTCCTCACCGCCCGCAAAGAAGTTGTCGGGTTGGTTCTCCCTCCAGTTCTCGTATTGCTGGTGGGAAAGGGGGGAGGCTGAGAGCGCTCGCGCCCCACAACCCCCACCCCACGAGGAGCCACCCCATGGGTCTCACCAGGCCGGTGTTGTCCGTCCATTGGAAATCCTGCTCCACAATCCTGTCGTTGAGCCCGATCCAGGTGTTCTCGTGCCCAAAGCCTGGCGAGAAAAGCATCAGAGGCGGCCCCAGGCACCGGCATCCACGGGGCTGGGGAGCACCCAGGGGTGCTGCTGCTCCCTTCCTCCCTCCCCCCACAATGTGCCCATACTGTTGATGAAGCCGTGCTCCTCCTGTGAGTGGATGCTGGTGAGATGCCCGGCGCGCCGGCGGCAGTCACGCTCTGCGTCCTCCCAGGAGCGCCGCCGGGAGAAGTAGCGGTAGCAGTGGCCCTGGAACTTGTGCCAGTTGTGGTCACAGCCCTCCGTGTCTGCGGGGATGCGGGGACACCAGGGGTAGGGAGAGGGACGGGCACCACCCCAGGATGTACGGGGGGCTCCTGGGTTCAGCTCCCCACCCCCTATGGGGCAGGGCTGGGGGGTCTGGGGGCTGCTCTCCCCCATGCCACCCTTCCCACCTTTCTCACAGCGGCTGCCTCCGTAGCTGGGCAGGCAGAGGCAGACGAAGGCGTTGACCTCATCGATGCAGGTGCCGCCGTTCTGACAGGGGCTCGACAGGCAGTCATCGATGTCTGCGGGGATGGCGAGGGGCTGCAGGCAACGCTGAGACCCCCGGCACCCCCTGCCCTCCCCATCCCCATCCCCAGCATCCATCCTGGCATGGCCGTCCGCTCACCGATCTCACAGTTCTCCCCGGTGAAGCCCGGGGCGCAGCTGCAGCCGCAGACGGAGCCGTTGGCGTGGCACGTCCCGCCGTGCAGACAGGGGTTGGTCTGGCATGGGTCAGCTGGAGCTGTGGGGTGGGAGTGCTGTGAGCGGGGCACTTCACCCAGCCCACCCCACTGACAGCCCCATGCGGCAGGATGCCCACCCAGCCCCGGCTCCTTGGCTCCTTGGTGGCACAGTGGGGACAACGCGGCCCCCAGGGCAGTCATTACGGCAGTGCTTCCACCTCTCAGTGCCTCTAAACTTTAAATCTATTCTTTTTGCAGACACTAAAGGCTGCGTGTGCTGAACTCCCCTCAGCCAGGAGTCACTTCGCTCTCCATTATTATTCTCGACCACGAATATTAAATATTTAGGAGGATGCTTTTCTGGCTCACGTTCACAGCTCAGCTCACTTGGAAAAACCCATCGCAGCCAGTGAAAGTCCCCACTGAACCCCACGGTTTGGACACCTCTGCCTTAAACCCAACCCCAGCTCCCTGTGCCCCGTGCTCACCATGCTGGCTGCTGTTGCTGCTGTCTGCCCACACCAGCAGCTCCTGCTCCTCCAGCACGGGCTCCTCGCCGCTCCCACTGTCAGTATCCAGCAGCAAAGCCCCCCCTGCGCCCCCCGGTGTGGTGGGCTCAAAGAGCGGCCCCGCACTCGGGGCTTCAGGCCCATCTGGCACCCATGGGTGGGGGACGGTGGGTGACGGCCAATGGGTGTCAGGGGATTCTGGGGGGTGGGTGGCTGTGCTGGTAGGGGATTCGTTCTTTGCCTCCTCTGAGGTGTCCTCTTCGCCAGGACTGGGGGGCTGTTGAGGATCTGGGGGGTGTGAGGGATGCTCCTCTCCTTCCAGCCCTGGCTCAGAGGGGTTTGGGTGCTGTGTGGCAGCTGTAGGGCCGTCCCCCACTCGCCCGCTGCCCTCCGATGGCCACTCGGAGCCCAACCGTGGGATCACCTCGCTGTCTGTGAGGGAAGCTGAGGGGACATCTGGAGCCACTGGGGTGATGGCTGCTTCATCCTGCAGCCCCATCCCCACATCCAGGTGCTCAGAGGTGGGTTCAGCCCCCATTTCGAGCGCCCCTTGGGGATCTGTGGGGCTCAGCCTGCTCTGCGGATGGGGAGAAGACACTGCAGTGGGGCTGGGGCTGCCAGGGAGCCCCATGGGTGGGTGGACAAAGGTCACCGCCTTCCTCTGCCGCTCCAGTGAGCCATCACTCAGGGCCCCACCGCTGTCACTGATGGGCTGTGCAGCTGTCCCGGGGTCCTCAGCCACAAGTGGGGCTGGGGGCAGTGGGGGCCACGGCGGGATGGGGCTGTCGTCCTCCTTGGGGGCAGCGTCCCCGGAGAAGTCCTCGGTGACATCTGCAGGTGGCTGAGGAGAGTCACCGCGGGGCTGAGCCTCCCCTGTGCTGACGTCCTGGTGGTGGGAAGCATCACTGGGAGCCACGGGAGTGGATG